GGGGGGGTCAATGTGGGTTGCAGCCCCTTTTGCTTCTCAGATACACTGCATATCAGATATTTACAATATAATTTATAATAGTAGGACAATTAGTTATGAAGTAGCAACAAAGCCATTTTATGGTTGGGGTGTCACTACAACATGAGAAACTGGATTAAAGGGTGGCAGCATTAGGAAGGTTGAGAAACACTGGAAGAGAAAATACAGCAACACAAAATAAAATAGGAATTACAATGAATGCTTTATCAATCAAAGAAAAATATCACATGTACCACTGTTTCGTCCTCTTTCCTGCTTTGTTCATTGGCTTCCATCCATACAGTTTTGGTTGACTGTAAATGGTCTTAAGTTACAAGGAACTGAATGGAAAATGTTCAGGGTGAAGTACACAAGAGGGAACTGAGCAGAACTTGATGTTCTGGGCCTGAATGTTAGCAACAGCAGGTCTTTTGTTCTACTTCAGAAAGGGTGAAGGTGCCCAAAACTCAGAAAAGGCTGACTGAAAGTAAGGGGCTTTGAGGCTCACATGCAATCCCAGTATGCTTAAGGTGAACTCCATAGTGAGTTTCAGGATAGCTTGTACTAGAGTGAGGGCTTGTCTCAATAACATCAAAGGAAGTGGGTGAGGAGATGGCTTGGGGCTGAGATTGTGGACCTCTACTTAATTTTCCTATTTACCATCTGCCCCTTTTTTGTTACTCACTCCTCTTTTTTCTTTCTAAGTGTTTGCGTTTAAAAACTACCTCATGAAGACAGGCAGCACTATGCCACCAACCTACACTGTAGCCTGTGTAACGAATGATTGCCAAGTCCAGGATCTATGTAGCCCAGCATCTCAAAGGCTGACTGCCTGTCTTTCACTACAGACTGAAGAGTCAGCAATCTGTTCTGTCCAGGGGTTTAAACCCAAAACACAGAGACTCCCAGCCAGTCTTACTACTCACAGACTGCCGTAAAGTGTGGCTTCTACTCACCTAGAATTTTCTAGGTTGTAGGTCAAGAGCCAGCTTGATTTTTCTTGACCTTCCATTCTGTACACACTTAGGTGTCAGCTTCCCTATACCCTAAATATGTCCTTAACTACCATCTTTCTATCGTGATCACAAAGGGCTTTTGTTTTATGTTTTTCGCCATCTCTTGTCTGTCCTCATAGCTTCTGTCTTCCATTGCCCTTCTCGGCTTACAGACTTAAAAATATTTATTTCTTTTTATGTATATATATATATATGTTTTGCCTGCCTGCCTATCTGTGCTCCACATGTGTGCCTGGTGTCGTGGATGCCAGAAAAAGGTGTCAGATCACCTGGACTGGAGTTACAGATGGTTGTGAATTAGCATGTAGGTCCTGGGAACTGAACCTGGGTCCTTTGCAAAAGCAGCCAGTGCTTTTAACTGCTGAGCCATCTCTATAGCCCTTTTGTTTATTTTTTGATAACATCTCTCACTATGGTTCTCAGGCTGCTCTCCAACTCCTGTGCTCAATTGAACTCCCACCTCAGCTTTCAGAGTATGTGATAGTAAAAGACAGTTAGTTCCACCTGACATATGCATTTAAGAATCTTTAGTAGGGAGGGAGGGTGGGACTGGGAGGAGACGAGGGAGGGGGCCACAGCTGGAATACAAATTGAATAAATTGTAATAAATGATAATAATTTTTTTAAAAGAATCTTTAGTTAGGGCTGGTGAGATGGCTCAGTGGTTAAAAGCACTGTCTGTTTTTCGAGAGGTCCTGAGTTCAATTCCTGGCAACCATATGGTGGCTCACAACCATCTATAATGTGATCTGGTGCCCGCTTCTAGCCTGCAGGTAAGTGTACATGCAGATAGAGTACTCATATACATAAAATAAATAAATCTTAAAAAAATAATCTTGGGCTGGAGAGATGGCTCAGGGGTTAAGAGCACTGCTTGCTCTTCCAGAGGTCCTGAGTTCAATTCCCAGCAGCTACACAGTGTCTCACAACCATCTATAATGAGATCTGGTCCCCTCTTCTGGCGTTCAGGTGAACATGCAGGCAGAACATTGTTTACAGAATAAAATCACTAAATCTTAAAAAAAAAGAAAAAAAGAAAAAAAGAAAAGAAAAGAAAAGAAAAGAAAAGAAAAGAAAAGAAAAGAAAAGAAAAGAAAAAGAAAACCACCTTTAAAAAAAAATCTTTAGTTAATATTTTAATGGCATTTGTAAGGCAGCAGAGTCAGAACTGAGCACCCAGCCCTCAGCTGGGCACCACAGGGAACCCTTTAGAAACATAAGGAGGAGCAGCCTTCCCAGGCCACAGAGGAGGACAATGCAGCCAGTCCTGATAAGACTTGATAAACTAGGGTCAGATGGAAGGGGAGGAGGACCTCCCCTATCAATGGACTTGGAGAGGAGCATGGGAGGAGCTGAGGGAGGGAGGATGGGATTGGGAGGGAATAAGGAAGGGGGTTACAGCTGGGATACAAATCGAATAAAATATAATTAATGTAAAAGAATAAAAAATTAATTAAAAAGGAAACATAAATTGTGACAAAAATCTTTGTCTCTTACAGTTGATTTTTGACATGGTCAAAAGTCAAAGAGAACCTTCATGGATTCCCTCTCCTAAGCCTGAAGCCCCACTGCTCAGCATAAGGAATTATTTTTCTCTACTTTTGACCACAAGGAAGCTGAATTGACTGTGAATCAAGAATAAGCAAGACATAGCTATGCTGTGTGTTGTGGAAATGTCCATAATTTCAGCACGTAGAGACAGAGGAAGGAGGATTCCTGCAAACTCTCAGCCAACCAGGACTTCATAACAAGGCAACATGACAAAAAAAAAAAAATCTGGGAAATATCACTATCTTTCTTAAGATAGCAAAATTCATATAATTTTCCAAATAAAACATGTAGTATATAGCAAATTTCCCTGGGGACAAACTCTACCCAGAAAGAATGTCAATTTGCTATTTTATTATTGAATTCTTTGCTCAGCCTATTATCCCAAAGGAATAATAAAATAAGGTTAACTCTCGTCACTGTTCCTATCTCTTGCCCCAGGTCAAAAAATTTAGGACATCAAAATCACCTCTTCCATTTCTAATAGTCACACTACCTCAGTGCGTTCAGTGTTCAGTTTGTCTCAGGGTGACAAGTACTGAGGGACTCTGCCTGACCAATCTAAAAATTGCCACTAATGAAAATTAGGTGACTACAAATCAAAGGGATGGCTTTGTGTGTAGCAGAGAGTCTGCCCTCCAGTACAGATCCACAGCCTGATGCTTTGGCTTTCTGAGAGTGTCACTCGAAGGATACCCACAGGGCCTGAAAAGATGGCTCAGCAGTTGAAACTGCTCATTCTTCCAGGGAACCCACGCTCACGGTGGGTACACGGACATACGTGAAGGCAAAAATGCCTGTACGTGTAGAATGCAAATAATAATTGAAAAGTTCAAAGAAACACTCCATTTGTTGTCTTTTGTATCAGGAAGCGAAAACTTCACTAAAAAGAAACACCCACACCTGGAGGTGATCACCTGTAAAGGTTTACACAGTTGGATTTATGTGTGTGGTCCAGTTGGACTCTCTATGTTTTAATGTGGAGAGGGGAGGCAGAGTACTGTGCAAAAGGAGCTGGGGATGATGCTCAGAGGAGCCTCACCTTTACTAGTAACACAACGTGAACACTCTCCATGAAGGCGTTCTAGAGTAGCGGTTAAGCCATGTGGTGACACGCGACACATCCACCTAGAGCAGGTACATGTGATGCGTCTACTCTGGGGAGATCATACACATAGAATGAGTCAATTAAAAAAATCAGTGCCAAATGGTAGATGCACACAAAATAATTTAATACGACGGACTGTTGGTGAAAAGGAGTTGCTGGTTTTAAATGTAAATATTAGGTTTGGTTTGGTTTTTAGTTGCTTAACTTCACAATAAAATGGGAAAAAAAATCCTCTCTCAGAAACAGAACTGCCCCTCTCCATTCTTTTCTGTTATTGCTCTTGATCCAGTTTGAAATAGGTACTGTGCAACTTATTCATGGACTGCCAGAATTCCTCTTATAAAACTTACAGGAAAAAAGTCACATGCTGAAGTTGGTAGAACTGTAAAAACTTCCTGCTTTGCACACAGCTCCAAAAGTGGAGGCCACAAGCTGTGAGAGAAAGGAGGAACTTGGAAGGTGCTTAAATAGCAGGCTGGTCTTCTCCAGTCAGCCAGCAGCTGATCCAGCTTTGAGGTCAACATGAAGGCTCTCCTCACCCTGGGATTCCTCCTGTTCTCTGTCACTGTCCAGGCCAAGGTCTATGAACGCTGTGAGTTCGCCAGAACTCTGAAAAGAAGTGGAATGGATGGCTACAGAGGAGTCAGGCTGGCAGACTGTAAGTCTCCTCTTGATACCTCTAGATCAGCTTTCAGAACAGGGACAAGGGAGCAGTGAGTGATCAGAGAGAGGGAGGGGGAGTCAATACAATATTATGTTTCCTGTGTGTTTGAGTTAATTTGAATAAAAGCATTACTGCTTATCTTTGAATCAGAGATATTGGATGAGGGCAGGGGAGGGGAAATTCTGTGCCATGCTAAGCCATAGGAACCGAGGTGCTCTTGCACGGTCACTAGGTTTTCCAGTCGCTTCAGACCAAATATCCCAGGAGAAAGGGACTGAGAAATGATCGGGGGGGGGGGGGGATCACTCAGTCAGAATGTGGGATCTGAGATCCTGGATGACATGGTATTTGTCTTCACTTCTCCTACCATGGTGTGCAACTTTTGAGATAAAAATTTTAAAGTTTTTTGAACTTTCTACACAGGGCAGAGGGATCCTACTGGCCCCTAGTTGCTGCATAAATGAGGTCCTCTGAAATTGAGTGTAAAGTGATTTAGGACTGTTCTTCACTCTGAAATGGCCTTCTGTTTCACACCACGGAAGATGTGGATGAGGAAAAGTTCTTCATGACTTACTTCATCTCTGTTATTGTAACCAGTGTTCTTTTCAGATCCAGTTCAAGTGGTTACTGCTCAATAGTTAGTTTTCCATGAATGAGTAAACAGAGACATGTATGTGTGGACAGATGGATGAAATTGCAGAATAGCCTTTCCTGTCCTAAAATTCTTGATTTCAATAGTCTCTTCAGCCATTTGTGATGGTGCACACTCCTGAAATCAAGGCAATGGGATAATGAGGCAGGAGATTGCAAATTCAGTGCCAAATTAGGATACTTAGTGACACAGAGAAGAAAAAAAAAAGAATTCTACTTAACATGCAAATTCACCTTGGTTATAAGAACATCTTCCTGAGAAAAATCCTTATTTTTCTGATACTAGCATCTTCTATCAGCATATGTATTTGACATTAATTTATAAAATCCACCTAACTACTATTTGTGTTCCTATCTTAGACAGAGGTATCTTGAAGGATGAGACATGGGAGGGTAAAAGCAATAGAAGAAACAGCTATTTTATTTGATGCGAGGGCATGGTTTCACTATATATCATTGGCTGGCCTGGAACTTGCTGTGTAGACCAGGCTGGTCTCAAAGTCACAGAGAATCACTGGCCTCTGCCTGCTGATGGCTGGGAATAAAAGTGAGCACCGTTGTGACAGGTCCATCTATTGTGATCTTATAAAACGATCTTATCCTGTTTATTCCTCATTCAAATTTATTTGTCCTCTCAGGGATTCTGTTTGTGGCACTTGAAAACTGCTTGCAGCAGTTTCACCTAGTTGAAAGGCAGAGGCAGGAGGATCACTGGAGAGACTATACTAAGCAACTCAGCCAGACCCAGGCTGAACTAGAGGTAGCATAATGATACCATTTAATCATATGATTGTATGTATAACGTAAATCACTTCTAAAATACAGCCAGCTCAAAGAGAAGACTTTGGTATCAAATACAAATCATTTGCTGTTGCTGCTTATTGACAAACACTCTTTTCTTTTCAGGGGTGTGTTTAGCTCAGCATGAGAGTGGATATAACACACGAGCTACAAACTACAACCGGAGAGACCAAAGCACCGACTATGGGATATTTCAGATCAACAGCCGATACTGGTGTAATGATGGCAGAACCCCAAGAGCAGTGAACGCCTGTGGGATACCCTGCAGCGGTAAGACAAGGCAGCTTTACAGTGAGAGCAAACAGCCCATCTGCTCTCACTGTGAGAGCAGAGATTCTGTGCAGGGACATAGCAGTGGAGGAAGCATCGGGAACCTGGGGAGATTTCCTACTGTTAGAAAGTCATTGCTAAGCACATCAAAGTTAGCCAAGGAAGACAATAGGCTTAGGGTGGAGTTTGGTGGTATAATGCCCTGCCTACACATCAGAGGGCCCTTGGTCTCCCTGCCAGAATTAATAAATGGATAAATGAAATCAAAATAGAGTCTGGGAAGATAGCTCAGACAGACGAGATCAGGTGCGTTCAGAGTGGTATGGCTGTAGACGATAGCTCATACAGAAGAGTCACCTAACCCAAGGTTGACCCTCAGCAGCCACATAAAAGCTGAGGTTGGTGGTATACAATTTTAATAGCAGCACTGGGGAGTGAGACAGGCAGATCCATGGGGCTCAATGGCCAAGCAGCACAGCCTGGTCTGCAAGCCAGTTCCCAATGGCAGACCCTGCCGCAGAAGCAATGTGGACTGTTCCTGGGGAACAGCTCCCGGGGCAGACCTCTGACCTTTACATACACATACACACAGGTGTAAGTTCACTGCTGCAAATACCACCACACCCATAGACACTCATGTTAAAGTAATAGTTAAAAAATAAAGAGCTGGTTTTATTAAAAGTTGGTGGATGTTTTCTTTAACCTATTTTCACATAAACCCAGCCATACACAGATACAAAATTTAAATTAATAAAAAATAAATATTTGTAAGAAGTTGTCATAACATGTTAAAGTTTTTGAAATATGTACTAGTTAATTGTAAGTGGCCGTATTGATGTCTTGTTCTGAGGATTTCCACTCTACGTAATTAGTTATTGTTGTAGGGTCACTTTAGAGTTACTGCATTTTATTATAAAGATGTCTAATATACACAAATGGAGATATTACTGTGGTGAAGGCCACGTGGAAGCGTACCACTAAGTCACTGGCATTTGTCCAGCTTGCTTTTATTTGCATAGATTGATGTGCTCTTCCTGTTGGCAGATTTCAGACAGAATTAATAATACCAAATTTTATTTTTAAACATCTTAGTTTGCATCTCCAGACAATCTAATTCTTAGATGGACATTTGTCTCATCTAACAAAATAACATATATTTTATTTATTTAAGATGAAACTGATTTTTAAGAAATTCGTATTAATTTATATGAAAGAAAATGTATATGAAAGATAAAATTCATATCAGGATTGAGGCCCTGGAAGTTTAGATCTTGAAATCATGTCATTGTCAGTGCATGAATTAAATTGGTTGATATTGTTCTATCTTTCCAGTGTGGGAATTGAATCCAAGATTTGCTATATTTTAGTCAAGCACTCTACACAGTGAACTATATAATTCTCTATCTGTTAAATTTAGTTGTTAAATTTTCCAAGAGAAAATGGATTTTGGAACATTCTCTGTAACCTACTTAGTCTGCCTTTAAAAGTGTTTTTTACAGTCCTCCGTAGTCTTTAAAAAGTATTAGAAAATACAAGAAAAAGGAAATATTACTCCCAGAAATGCCATTCAGAAATTTGACATAATTGGAAGCCATTGGAAAATGCTGTTGTAGAGTGTAAATCTATGTTGTACATAAAACATCTAAAGTTATATTGTGCACATATGAACACCCAGGAAAACATGTAAAGATTTTACACTTTTGCATTTTTTGTACAAATTAAGTTACACTTACACAGCTGCACAATATGGCTATCACCCAAAACCACATCCACAGTAACAAATACTGACCTGAATTCTCATCTCAAACAGGGAATAAAATTACAGTAGCAATGTTCTGTGCTGATAAACACCACTCTTAAGTATTATGTCTTAAAGCAGCTGGGCTTATAAATCACCAGGAAGAGCTTTATCCATGGAATGCTTATACATTTTTTTTTCTTTTTTAAAGTATTAATTTATCTCTTAAGTGTGCAGATGTTTTGCCTGCATATAGTTCTATGCAGCTTGTGTGTAGCTGGTACCTGTGGAAGCCAGAAGAGGGCTTCAGCTCTCCTAGAACTGGAGTTATAGACAGCCGTGAGCCGCCATGTGGGCGCTGGGAAGCAAACCTCTGGAAGAGCATCCGTGCTCTCAGCCACTGAGCCCTCTCTCCAGCCCCTGCTTTTTTCAGTGGTAGATACTCAGCTGACAGTTCCCTGCTTGTTCTGTTCCCCAGTGTGAGGAAGAGGGGCTTCCCTCACTGTAGCCAACAGTCCCACACCCTCCAGAGCCTCCTCACTACTGCGGTGGGTTCTTTACTTTGCAGCAGTGCTGGATCCTAAGAACACAAGCACGTGCACACGCTTAAACACCTCTACAACTCAAGCATGCCCCAGCCCTCCAGGGACTGTATGTGTGAGAAATAGAGAGACAGACACCTTGTCACGTAGAGAGAATCAAGAGACTGTCGCCCATAGTCACAGACTCATGGACACGTGGAAAATAATTTCTTGTGTTCACTGCTCAGTGTCACAGAGGCTCGCTGGCTGGATGTGAACAGAAAGTGTGTTCTATAACTGTCCTTGTCATTCCTCACCCTTGTCTTTTAGCTCTCCTGCAGGATGACATCACTCAAGCCATACAATGTGCAAAGAGGGTTGTGAGGGATCCTCAAGGCATTAGAGCATGGTATGTTGGAACTCTGGAAGGGAAACTGCTGGTTCTGTTGATGTGTGCAGTGAGTCTCTCTAGGGCCCACGTGTCATTCTGAGAACTGCGGGTCCACTTGGGGGCTTTTCCTACATCATTACTTTCAGGGAATTTCTGCTGATTGTGAGAGTTCCCACACATGACTACTTCCCGGTCAGCCTCCAGAGTAGCTGCTGGATCAGTGAACTGTACAGTACATGTGATTTGACACAGATCTTCAGCATCCTGTGCTCTCCTGAGGGTTGGGAAGGCATCAAACTGCTGTGTAGACATAGCTCCCCCAGTCAAGAGCAGTTTCTGGTGCAGCGATGGCCTGTGTTTCACACTAGACCTTGGCCAGAGGCCAGTCTCCATTAGTGTAACAGTTACACCATTTCCTCCCCCGCCCCCGCTGAGGTTTGAGTATGTGCACGACAGAGGAGACAGATGTTAACCATTTATCCCCCTGTCTCCCTTTCCTCCACAGGGTGGCATGGAGAAACCACTGTCAAAACCGAGATCTGTCTCAGTATGTTCGGGGTTGTGGAGTCTAACCACTGTGTGCTTCACTTCAGCTCTTGCTGTCTCTTTCTCGCTATAGGAGTAGTCATGAGAAAGGTCACTCTTGCTTTCCCCTTCAAACAAACAGGATTTAAATAGAAACAGGAGCTTAAATGGGACTTTTTCTTAAGAGGCTTAATGCTGACATCCCTGTTCATGTGTTACACAAAGCCTCCAGGGTTCAGTTCGCTCGTGCAATGGATGCAATTTGGTCATCACACACATCTCCACACATCAGTTCTTCACCAATGAAGTAACTTAAGTTTAATCAGAATTAATCTAAATCTCCCCTGTGTTGGATAAAAATACAAGTATTTACAGGAGACAAGATGGACTTAGGTCAAATGGCAGCTGTGTGAGCTCCAAGGCTTTGTGTGTGGGCTCAGCATCCAGACACTTAGAACAGCCACTGTGGTGGTCAAGGAGGGTTTTAAGGGAACAGAACTCTGAGTGGATGACAACTGAGACTCCCTGAACTCAGAACCTTGTTGTCATGAAATGTGTGACTTTTCCCAACAGTACTTTCTTAGAGCTGCTCCATTTATACTGCTTAAAAAGTAAATTCTCAACCCATGTGCCAGTCTGTTTTAACCCTTGAGAGAATGTTCCCATGCCTCTTGCTGATCATGAGGGTATTCAGGAGGGACTAGTGAGCTGTGCTTGTCCTTATCTTTCTTAAGTAGCTTCATGCCTGTGAACTAACCCTGAGACAGAGGAGCTTGTATCAGCAAATAACCGCAGGAGCAAAACAAAGCACATTGTGAAAAACTTCAAACAGCATTAAATGATTCTGAATGCACACTTTGTCTTTGTTTACTCTGAAGTGGTGTCTCTTGAGGAGAATATTTATAAATTGGGAAAAATCAGCATGGTGCTCTTGATGGGGCCTACATCCTCGCCTACACACAGCTTGTTGCCTCATTCTCACCTACACATTCCATTGCCTTCATCCTAACCTACACATATCCAGTGTCTACATCCAAGACTGGAAACCTGAGTTCAAACCCAGGATACACATGATGGAAGGAGAAAATGAGCTGCAGCCAGTTGTCCTCTCAACGCCATATGAGCACCACAGCACACATGTCTGTGTAAAAACACATGTTATGCCAGGTTCACGGGACCCTCAGAGACCACCAGGAGACGACTCGATGCAATTGCAAGAGAGCTTTATTACGAGAGCGATAGAACTCGGGACCCAAGTCTCACTGGCACAGCAGTAGAGAAGTGGGGCCCTGAGCTCTGAGTGAACAGGATTTTTAAAGGGAAAGTCTGTGAGCCGGGGGTTTCCATGGCAGCAAGCAGGGGGGCACAAGCCTTGGCGTTACAGAATTGGGTAAAGTTTAGCAGGGCGGGGTGACCTTTTCTGAGGCACATAATCACAATGGCTAAAACATATAATCACAATGGCTATTTTTCTAAACCATATCTGAAACATTGGGGAGAATTTTCCCACCTGATTCTCAACCAATTCCCATTGATTATTGCCAGGGAGTTTGTCTCTATTTTCTATGAAGCATTTATTCTGTTATATTTCCTGGAGGCTGTTGCTAGGAGAGTTAACTTTGTTTTCTGCCAGGTGTACACTCTGTGATATTTCCTGGTACCTGAATTCAGTTCCCAGTCAAGATCTTTATTTCAAAATGGAGTTATATTCAGGCTATCTTAAGCTCTTCACACATACACACACACACACACACACACACACACACACACACACACATACACACACACACAAGCAAAAAGTAAAATTAAGGTATTTTTCTTATGTTTATGAGTAATTTCCTGCATTCATGTTTGTTCATCATATATATGCCTCATGCCCTCAGGATGCAAAAGAAAATAATGGATCCCCTAGGACTGGAGTTTTATGAGTTATTGTGCAGCTCTGCTAGACAAGGTTGACATCTGACATCTCCTGATAGCCATTTATTTACACTTGGTCAATGATAACACACTCCCTTTTCTCATCGGGGTACTAAAAGTTTCCCCTGATCTGGTGACCCCAGGTCTTGCAAGGAGTGTCACATGGCCCTCAGGGTAGATTACAGGCTGGACCCTTTCCTGATAAGAAAACCAGTCTAGCAAGCAGCTGGGACTTCTTAGAAATACCCCACCCTGCTAAGGATCTTAGTCTTCAGCAGTGACCTTCAACTGTACTTGGAGATTCCCTCCCTCCACACACAACACCTATAGGATAAATAAGTTCCTGTTCTCCTTCTTTGTGATAGGACCATGCTAGTGCATGGAACATTAGACACATGTAAATCAAGTATCTCTGAGCCAGCATATCAAACACATTCACCCTTGAAATTCCTCCCAGTACCCAAGGTTTATAAATGCCTGATTTCAAATAAATGTGCTGACTGGCTGCATGATTCCATCAGCCTTCCACCATGGCCATCTGAGATTCCTCATTGTGCCCTGCACTGCTTTGTCTCACTGGGCCTGCCCTCTGGCTCTTTGGGCCTGGGCCTCACCAGGCCTGCGCCTTGCAAGGGTGGATCTTTTCTGCAAGCCCACCAAGCATGGGCTTTGGCCTGCACCTCTGTTCTGCTCAGCACAGCAGCTTAAGCAGAGCTGTAACACTTTGGTACTGCCATAGGCTTTGCAACAACTGAGTTTCCACTGCCACTGGGGATCTCATTCTAAAAGAGCGAAAATGTAACACCCTATGGAAAATCTTTTCCACACCCTGGCCAGGTGCCCTAATGCACACTAGTTGTCCGTGAGAGAAGCAGAACCTGAAAGACCCCATATCACCCTGAGTTAAACAGAGTTAAACATAGCTAACGCCATGCCATTTTGTGGTGTACCACAGTTCTGGGAAAAATAGTAAAGGCCGGATGGGAACTAAAAATTACTCTGAGAAAATCCAGCTAAGTCACCCCCCTCAAGATATCTGCGGTCAAGGCTGCCCCAACTGAGCCAAAAACAACTTTGTCCTGACCACCCTCATGGGATATCTGACAGGTGATCCGGCTGAGATAGGAGTCCTGAGAAAAGCAACATATGGCGGCACTAGTCAAGGTCGTCATAATTGTTTTGACCACCCAGTTCCTGGAATTCTGGTGTCCCTGCCAACCTGATTCATGTTATGGTTTCATGTGAAAGAGCCAATCAGCTCCCTGTAACTATGCTTCTCGCTTCTGTATCAGTGCTTCTGCTCTAACCCTATAAAAACCCCAGCTTTCCACCCGGAAAGGCGCGTAAAGTCATCTGAGTGGCTTTCCGCCCGGGTACCCGTGTATCCAATAAAGCCTCTTGCTGTTTGCATCCGAACGTCTGGACTCGCTGATCCTTGGGAGGGGGTCTCTCAGATGAAAGATACCCTCAGGGGGTCTTTCAAACCCTTGGTCTCTGCATTGAAAAGGAGCTCCAGGCCCCCCTCTGAAATCCAAGAGCCTGCCAAATGGAGAACTACAGTTATGAGTTGCATGTGGGTGCTGAGAACTGAACCTGGGTCCCCTGGAAGAGCTGTCAGTTGGTGGTATAGTGGTGAGCATAGCTGTCTTCCAAGCAGTTGACCCGGGTTCGATTCCTGGCCAACGAACCAATGTTAAAAAGAAAAAAAGAAAAAGATGCAGGGGGACAACTGATATATTCACTTTGAGAGGTTTATTAGGGAGGTATGGAGGAAGTGGGTAGCGGGACATGGTGGGGGAAGAGAGAGGGAAAGGGCAAGGGAAAGGGGGGTGCCCCAAGAGAGAGAAAGAGAAGAGTGTAAAGAGAGTAAGAGTAAGAGAGAGGAAATGAGAGAGGGACCACATGTGGGTATCTGACCTTTAAGGGGGCATGATAACCATGCCTTCCAGGTGTGGCCACCTGCTTGGCGACACATGATGACGTCATAGGTTGCTGGGTAACTAACACAGGAGTAGGTTGTGTTCCAAAATACTAACATTTGGATTTTACCAACAAATACTCAGGAGACATGCTGGGGTGAAAGCCTTGCTAGCTCAGAGATGCAGAGGAATGCAGAGATGCCCAGCTGACAACATCCCCAAAGCAAATAACAAGTGTTAAGCCTCCCTGCTAAAGGGTGTGGCTGCCATACCCTGCCCTGCCCTAGGGGCAGAGCTTCTCCTGCCCAGAGCCCCTTCACTATGTAAGCCAGACATTTAGGTTCTCCAGGCCCTTATTACCTTTTCTCCCCTTTTCTCCTTTCCCGACTTCCTGCTCTCTCTCTTCCCATTCCCTGTTCATCCCCCACCAACGTGCTCTCCCTTTTCTCCTACACTGCTCCAATAAACCTGCGTTTTTATATAATATAGCTTTGTCTTGCCATCAGCTCATTCCATTTTATTTCTTAATCAACAAGTTATCATTCTTCACAAGGTCTCCAAAAAATTCTCCAAACTGAATGTCCCTCCAGTCTACTTCTCAAGGGTCTCTATATTCGTCCACCTGACTTCCTCTTACTTACTCCTGTTTTTCCTATGTTCACTCCCTCTCAGCTAGTTTCTTGCTCCACCTCTCCCCCTACAGTTAACTTTATTTAATCCTATGTACAATACTTAAGCAGAAAGCTCTTGGATTAAAGGTGTGTGGCAGGGCTGGACCACACCACAACTAGAAACATTTTTTTTTCCAGTAAAGAACACATTCTTGGGGTTCACATGTGATTAGATATCCTGTAGCACAGCAGAAGAAGCATGAAGGACAGGGAGAGAGGAGAGAGGCAGGGCCCTCTACGTTGTTAAAGAGAACATAGCAGGCAGAGGGGGTGATGGTGGATCTTCAGCACTGTAGACTGAGGAGACCACAGGAGGAGAGGCAGCAAGGAGAGGGAGGGCACATCTGAAGTGCTTACCAAGAGTAGTTTTAAATATGAGAACATCTCTGCGTAGGAACACTGAATGTTCACCCATGTCTACAGCCATATTGAAGTGTCAAAGTTTTTGTGAAAGGCATCCTGGGTCTTAATCTCTTAACTAAATTTTATTTTGTTTTGTTTTGTTTTTCAAGACAGCTGTCCTGGAACTTGCCCCGTAGATCAGGACAGCCTTGAACTCAGAGATCTGTCTGTCTCTGCATCCCACCCAGTGCTGAAATTAAAGGTATGTAACACCCCGTCTGGCATTCTTAACTATATTTTTGTTAGACATTTAAAAAAGTATTTCTTTTATTTTTGAGATCAAAATGTCATTATACCATTTCCCCCTTCCCTTCCCTCATTCCAAGTCATGTCATATACCTCTCTTTGCTCTCTTTCAAATTCATGGCCTCTTTTTAAATTAATTGTTATTATATACGTGTGTGTGTGTGTGTGTGCATATATATTCCTAAACGTGACTTGCTCAGCCTCTTTTGATGCATTTACTTTTATTGCATATGTATGAACATTTTTTATGCATGCATGTATGGGTACTATTTTTAGGCATGGTACCCTTAGATATCAAAAAATGATGTAGGATCTGCTAGAATGGGAGTCACAGATGGTTGTGAGCTGCCATATGTGGGTGGTGGGACCTGAACCCGAGGCCTCTGAGTGAACATCAAGTGCTCTAACCCACTGATCATCTGTCCATCCTCTTAACTAGCTTTTTAAACATCTTGCTCCATTTTCTTACTTGTGTTTTTAAGCTTTATCCTTTAGTTGTAGACCATTACATAAAGCCAACTATTTTAACAAGGTTTAAAAACTAATATCCTCTTCTGTGAAAGACCCCTGCCTCACCCTAAGTTAAACATAGCTAACGCCATTTTGTGGGGCACCACTGTTTTGTAAAACTCTGAAGGCCAGATGAGAAACTGAAAAATTACTGAGAAACCTAGCTGTGTCACCCACTTGGGGTA